CGAAGAAGAATGAAAAAAACGGCGCGAATGAATGAAGCCTCGTGGCACAATCATCATTCGGTCTGGACCCGATTTATTATTACTCACTGCTGGCTCCCACGCACGCGTGATTTCGGGTGATTTTTCCGCCTGAGGCTTTCTTCCAAACGCTAGCCCTCCAGTTTCCGGCATTCGGACATTTTGTTGCGCGTTCCCTTTCGCCGAGGCTGATTCATTCTTCTGAGGTGTGTCCCAGAAGTTTGGTTCAGTGATCCTGCCGGGCCGGGCCGTCCGACGCTTGAAAGACGTTGTATTGCCCTCCTTTCCTTCGTTACCATGCATGCACCGTTGTACGGATTTTCCTTTCGGGATTGCGGAGGTGACATGCGCAAATTTCTTCCGGTGAACAATTCCGGGAGCACTGGCGGAAAAATGGGAGCGAACTTCGTTAATCTTGTTAACAAAGTTCGAAAATTTTAAAATATTTTCCGCGCTTCTAATAGCTTTGTGGCTTCAGAGCGAGGTGAACAGAGCACTAGGATTCGACGGAGGAAAAATCGATTGTTCGGGAACTCCGCCTGTGCCGTGGATGTGTAGAACGAGTCGAACGCGGGATATGCGTTACTTGCACCTGTGTGTTTGGTTCAACGGTTGTGCTGAGCTAACGGGAAATGCCCCCGGATCGGTATGGTGGTATCACCTTTTCCCCTATGAATGTTACATATTCGTAAAACAAGTACAGCACGGTACTGGACATTTTAAATTTTCTGTCTGATGTCTGTTGTATACTGTATTGAAATTTTTATTTGAATGGTGTTCAAACTAAATTAATACTTTTAGATAGCCAATTTTATTACTGTATATCAGGAATGCGTGTGGATTTCCGTACACTGATGTATTCGGGGATCTCCATGCACTCAATTGTTGATTTCTTCCACGTATGAGCATATAATATGTTACGATATGCAAAATTTATGCATTTATGATGATTCTTTATTGTTTTTATGTTAGCATTGAGCATGATTGATCTATCTTTGTCAGTACAATAGGTGAGGATGCAAATGCAGAGAATTTGGGGTTGGGGGTCGTCTCGTTGCAGATTATCTGCAGTCGAAGTTGTTCATAAACTTCATGATTGGATGCATCGGACAAAATTTTCACTATTCTCCTAGACCAATGTTACTTCAAATACTGTATAAGCTTCCTTGCATATTTTAATTGAATATTGTGCTGATTTAAAGCTGGTTGCGTTTATTTTTTGGGGATTAGAGGAGTGATGGATGTTGAACTTTTTTTCAATTGTTCTTCGCACTCATCGTGTTATTCTGTCGTCAAATGACGTTAAATTTGGTCCTGTGCAAACTTATTTTATTGCCAAATTCTTATTTCTTTCAGCCTATGCTTGGGTTTCTCTGGAATTTGCCTTGTTCTTTCGATTTTTGTTGACCCGAATCGGTCACGAGGCAAAGGTGGTTCTGGGAAAATGGTTTTTTCTGGGTGATGTAAACATTTTTCAGTGGAGCTCGGTAGTTTTGATAAAAGGGGGGGGGGGTTAACTACGGTTCTTTTTAGCGCTTGAAGTTGTTGCCCGTCTGATCCTGCTCCATAAAATTTTCTTATAGCATCTGCAGGATCTGAGTGAAGAGTTGTACTGTATTTGAGTCCGAGGGAACTGGGGTGAGGAGGAATCGTTTTACTTGCCGTGAAATGCGGAATCCCGTGTTTCATCTCATAAAATATGGGATTTCATGGAAGCGTGATTTCCAGCTGAAAGTGCGAATTTTTTCAAAGCTCTTGTGAAACGTCTGCCAGTTGTGGCGCGGCCTTCGCGGGCACGTTTTATGTTGCTCTTACAGTTCGGTTGTGGCAAATTGCCGTGGACACGGTTCCGACCCTATGGGGAGGGGGGTTGAACACGAAGTGCGGTCCATGGTTGCTCCCGTGTACGTTGCTTCACTGGTTGCTGACGGCGTGGCGTCCTCCCGTACATCATTTCACAAGCCATGTTCTGGTACCTGGTGAATGACTTCGTGATGAAACAAGTCTGAAGTGTCTTTGTGATCAAATTAAGATTTTCCCCTTTCCTCGTTGAGGGACCGGTGTGTATCAGAGCCTGCCTGCGCAATAGCGCTCAGTCAATGGTGTTTGGATAAGTGTGCGAATGCACAATGCAAAGTATTGTTGTGAGGTTGAGTTGTCCCTCCCCTTGATTAAAACTGCCGTGTCTGCATTTCTGAAAACGAGCTGAGAGTATGTCACGAGGACTGACGTATTTATATGTATCTGAGCTGACGTAGTGTGTCTTGGTTTGTGACGAACGATCTCCGCGGAGTACGTAAATTTATCTTTGGCGGTTGTTTGTTTGAGCTGTCCTTAAATTCCATTCGTGTGCCTTCTAATCCAAATCTAAGGTACGATACGAAGGTTACGGGATTCCCGGTTGGAATTGTTAGAAAAGGCATAAAGAATTGTTTAATACTGTAGGCTTTCGCATAATTTGGCTGTTCTGTAAGTGTGTTGTTTATATTGTGAGTGAAGAAAGTCTGTTATTCTGTTGGGTCAGGTTAGTTTGCTTCTGGGCTCGGTTGGGTACTTGGCAGTCCTCGCTGCAGCTCATTGAAGAATATTGGAGCAATTTGTGGGAAAGCGATCAGTTTCAACGTGGTACTTCAAACTGTACCCCTGATCATGATGATGATGATGCGATCCTGGTGAACGAACGTTCTGTCGGGGAACGCGCATCCGGAAAAAGACCTTGCGCCGGAGCACACCGCGCCCCGGCAGGCGATTCGGTTCCGCTTGCGCTAACGCTCGCCGGCTGAAGGTCTCGGGGCTGTGAAGCGGCTGTTGGCTGCTCCAGGGATGAAGTTCGTTAGTCGGAAATTCGTCGGGGGGCCCCGCTGATGAGTCATGTAAACGCTGCTCCGCGGTCTGACGTATAGTGCAGTAAAAAAAATTTTTACGTTCTCTCGCGTGCAGTGTGGTGCGCGCACTGGTTGCTGCACATGCTGAGCTGTCGACTTCCTTGCGTTCGTCCGCGAAAAGAAACACCTGTTTCCAGTGGGATTTCTTTCTTCTTCGTCGTGAATTTAGTCTTTTGTGCACGATTTCTATTTCTCCGAGTTGAACTGATTCCATGGGGGTAATCGTTCCCCAGTTCCTGTCTACGCGCGGAAGTATTTTTCTTCCATCGCCTCGTTTCGTTCGGTTTGTTACGCAATGATGGTGATTTGGACCGTATTTAGACCGCAATCGAGTTGAAATCGGTCCAAGCTACGGCGATAACTTCCGTGGCGTCGTCCGAATGAACCATTAGTGATTTTCCTGTAGATGCGACGGTTAGCTTTTGCCCCAGAACATCGCAATTCATGTTTATGCAGTAAATCTTGACTTAACCCTGTTGAAAACTTCTCATCTTCATGAGAACATTTGCGATTGCGCTGGTCTAGATTTTACTTAATCGTGTGCTGTTGTGAGTTGGTGCTATTTGCACCGATGAAGAAAAAATACTGTAGTGTTTTTTTCTGTTTCATCTGGTGTCCGAAGTCTTACGATTTTACTTTCTGTTGATGGTGCCCACTTTTCCTATCGTTTTATTGCTTCTGTTGTGGTCCGTTCGATTATTTATTTGGGTTAGAATTTAGAGTTCGATAAGATTTTCGGTGTTCAATGCTGTGTTTATGTATTGGATGCTATGTTTGTTTTAGGTCAGATTACTTTAAATTCGTGATGATTGGCTTGGTTTCGAATTGAGATGCCACTTATCTGTTCTTCGGAAATCCATGATGGAAGTGTGAATGAAAAGAATTGTATCGAGTTTCGAATCGGCAGGGTTTTCAAAAGCAAGTGATAGGAACGTGTTCGCAATTCCTTCCTTTGGTGACCCTCTTGCCGCGGTCCCCAGCGTAGAGAGTTTGTTCGGGAAATCGGTGGAATGTGTGTCGCGAGATGGCATAGTGAAAATTCTTGGGAATGTCGCGGTAGCTGATATTTCTGAGTTTGTTCACGATAGCGAATGCTTGCGGGGACTGTCGTGACCCTCAGTATGGCTGTTCGCCATGCGCGGCTGCGTCTGGAGCGTGTCGTTTGCTCGGATCGCGAGCGCATCCTGTGTGATTCAGTTTCACTACATCCCGTTGGCAAGGGGCGTCTGGTACCGCGGCAGAAGCTTCGTGTGCTTTGTAGCTGTCGCGTATAAGTTTTTGCCGCATATGGCGTCCTCGAACACGATGCAGCTGAGCAGATTTGAATTCAGCGGGCTCTCATTGATTGTTTAAATCTTTTTTCGAAGTATGATCCCCCTGTGTAAACTTCGGATCGTTCATTGAAATGTTCGCTTTTCTGCGCCCAAAAGCTCGATCGTTGGAAAAAGCGAAGTGTGGAAAAGGCTGGCTTATCTTCGTGTGACCGGTCGTGTTCCCTGTCGGTCCGACTCTCGCGATTTGAATTTGGGGCATCAGTGACCGTTTTCATGCCCGAGTGCTTTCAGCTGGGTAGTGATGTCCCGAGAATGCTGTCGAAGTCAGTTTTATTTTTTACAAGAAAGCATGAAGTTGAAGTCTACCGTCTGACTCCATGCAGACATATCTAAACTCTTTTCCGGTTAAATTCTCCAAAGAAAGCGTTCTTCTCATAAGGTTGCAGGTGAGGTGATTTGCTCCGGTTATCGATGATCGAAAGATAAATATCAGGAGTACTTTCCATAGTTCGGATCCTTCGCGACATTGTGGTATTAATTGTATGAGAATCCGTCAGCTCCATGTTCCGAACTTTGCGGTAATTGATATGCTTGAACGAAAGCATGAATGTGAACTGTCGAAGAGTACGGTTGTGAGCGATATTTTTTCGCAAAGCCGCGAAGTGCATCCCCGTGTCTGGGGTAGACTCCGTCGAAGCGGGGCTGGCCTTGCGTTTCAAGCGGGAGAATCGAACCGGAAGACCGGTTCGCGTATTTTCCTCGCGTCAGTGCAAGTATTCGCGCACCACGAACATTGGCGCAACCCATGGGCATGAATGGAAGTATGCGATGGCGTGTGAAGCTGCGGCGGAGGCTTCTGGGAGGCATTGGCGGGTCAGGCTCGTCGTCGCAGTCCTGCATCGATGAGTTCTCGTTCGAGAGCTTCTCTCCCGCGTCAGTAGCTGCCGCGAACAATGGACGACCGCCGCCGGTCGGCGTTCGCAAGCGAACCGGCTTCATGAGCGTGCTGGATCTGAGCCAAGCTGGGCTAGACTCAGTGGGTAAAAAGCCTGCTGCGCAGCCACAGAAGCGCGTTTCTGCGCCCGGAGAGTTCAAGCCGCCTATTCCGAAGCCGGCGCCGAAACTACCTCCGCCGAAGCTTCCACCGCCATTGTCTGAAGCTGGCGTAAGAAACGGCGCGAAGCCGAAAAATCCTGCTCCGTTGCCCGCACGCAAGAAAGCGGTTGTACCTCCATTTTCAGTGCATTTTTCACGCCGTTATCCCGGTGCGGCAGCTGAAGCACCTGCTCAGAAGCAATACGTGCGCAAGCCAAGTACGTAGTCGATCTTGTATGATCGGCAATACTTCGTGTGAATTTCAAGTCTTGACGATTTGCGCTTCGTCTGCAACCTTTCGGCATTTGAATGTTCTACCATAGCTCTTACTTTTCGACCAGACCGATTCATTGAAGGTCCGTAACCGCTTTGTTGTACCAAGATCCGAACTGCTAGTGTCCTTGGAGTCAAGTACTTCACTTGCATCCACGCGATTGTTGCCCGCGTGCGAGCGTAATACGATAGCCGGGAAGCGAACGGTGTGGACCGCTAAGAAAGAACAATAAGAGAATATCTGCGAGAAAACGGATTCTGGTCCGAACTCAAAATTGTGGATCTCGGGGTTTTTATCATATTTTTTTTTGGAACGGTTTGGCCTGTAATGTAGTCGAGTACCTTAAATATTGGTTTCGTTGCGTTAGTGCAGTATTTTTTAAAGCTTACAACTATTTGTTTTGAAATTCCTCGAACAATTCTTTGATATTTTTTCATGTATCGTAAACATTTTTGCGCATACCTGAGAGAATAACTTTCCATGTTGAATACGGTATACATACATGTTAACTACAGTATATTGTGAAGCTTGAGTCTAAATACCTCTCGATCGTATGATCAGTGTTCTGTAATGGTCCGTCTTCTAGCATTGAATGCATTTACATTAGTTCCCTCCGCTTGACTAAAAAAAAACTTCTTCTTCACTTCAATTTCTATGTCGCTGAGTTTTGAGAGTACCATGAAGTAATACTGTAATCGCAGACCCAGAAGCGGTTTTCACCCTCGTTTGCGAGGCAATGGTCATCGTAGCAACTTCGTGGTGAGACTCGGTGAAATTCCAAAATAAATTTTCTGTAACATAGCAAATTTCTGTCAGTTGGTAGAATTGCGACGTGTATTAGCCGGCGATGGTTATTGAATTCTTTCACAATATTTTGAACTATGTTTCGTGTTATGTGTAATAAAATCTAATAAAATTAGATGCGCCGAAATTATATTGAATGTTGCGTCTTTATTCCCTTACGCTGTAGATTTCGGAACTGAGGATCTAGTTACACTGTAGAAAGTGGAATACAGTACCTACTCCACTGTTGCCAAGTCAATCTTTTTCTTTTCTTTTTTATGACGCGCTGTGCGCCGTATCGAGTTCTCTGAGTTGAAGAGGATCATATTCTCGCGTTGTTTACAGGACCGGAGCTGCTTTGTGTATTAGTCGGGAAATTAATTGATGGCACTCTTGGGATGTTCCTGCATTGTAATCTCGGGGTCTGAAAGAATCTTTAACGAGTTTCTGAAAGATTTCTATCCCATTGCACCCTTCGATTGCGGCATCTTTCTCCGGAATGAAAAATCGAATCTGCGGATGAGATCATACCGCGAGCCTTGATTTAATGCATTTTTTGATATTTTTCAACAGGTGATAAACCGGGCCCCTCTGGAGCATTCGGCAGCCGAAAATCAGAACCTCCAGGAAATCAGGCAGCCGACGACGCTCACAAAGACACGCCGGATGCCCACCCAGCTCATTCCAAACCGCATTTGGATTTCTCGGAAACGTGAGTACTGGGATTCTTCTTCATACTGTAATGAATTCACCTTGCCTGTTGCAATCGTCTTGAGGGCGAAACCGGGTGTAGGGATATGTACACTGTCGTCCCTGGGCATAATGTCGGACCTAGCTTGTCAAATCAGTCCGTTCGGGGGAATTTTAGGCATTCGCGTCGCATCCGGTTCATCGTTCTTCCACGTAGAAGGTCGTGACCTCTGTCATCAGGCGCATTTTCGGGGGAAATAATCCGTTCAAGCTTCTTGGACGAACTATTGTCTGCAAATTTCTGAACTTCACTTGAAAGTGAACATTTTTAGAAAATGTCTAAATTTAATTCGAACTCTCGTCTGTGTTACAATAATGGACCGTTTGATTTCCGAAGAGTTACTGTGCCGTTGAAAATTTTGCACATGCATTCCTATACTGTATCACGCAAGATATTATTCCTCTCAGCCCATTCAATATCAAGGTCATTTCTTGAGAGAAACGTGGTGAATTAGCGTTTTCCACCGCTATGTAACCTTTGGATATTCTCTATCTTCTGTCTCAAAATTTTTAGCCAATCTTTCAAACAGAACACATGTTCTTCTGAATTTTGCGTTGACTCCTAAATTAAATGCAGTATCTTCAGACTTCTTTGTGACGCGGGTCCGTGTTTCTTGGGATGGTTATCGCTTGAATAGAGCGGATGTAGCGCATCCTGGCCCAACTGGCGAAGTTCTGAGTTCCCTGCGCGTCGTTCTTGGGAAGTTCCGCTGGCAAACCAGTTTGTGAACGCAGCGGTTGGGTTATGTCTTTGGTACTTGGTTCCTCTTTCCTGTGTTACGTGCATTTCAAGTGTCGCGTTAGAGCATCCCGACGCGCGAAAGGGGGCGACTTCCAATGACCTATTAATCCAGTACTTGGCGAAATGGCAACATCTTCGCGCCTTGTTCTCTAGAGAATTTCGCTTTGAGAAACTTGGAAAATTTTGCGCGCCAGTCAGCGGTGCGCCAAGAAGGAAGTACGGTACAGTACAGTAATGATCCCAAATATCGCGCTCCTTTTCATTCATCAGTTATTCCTACTTTTTGGCGTAGTATATGGAAAGAAAACCAAAGGCTGTGAATGGGAAGTATACTGTAGAAACCTCACGACGTGCAGTACTTTACTCCAATATCTGAATGGAGAACGTGATTGTAGTCCTTCGAAAAGTTTCGTTATTAGTCTCAAAACAGTAATATCTTGAGCAATCCGTGCTCGTGGGTATACAGTACTGTATGTGTGTAGAGTTTTTTTTTTTACGGTGCACTACACCGATGTCTTTACGAGATGACGAGGTGTTGTCTGATGAAATTTTTAAAAATTCGATCCTTTATCGTGTAAATCGAGAACTTTTTTCAACGATGCCGAATTGCGACGATAAATCTAGCTATCCTGTTCAAATACTTTCATTGCTCCATGTTGCAATCTGAAATGTATCGGCCACATACAGTGCTCTGGTGAATTTACTTCTGTTGAACATAACGTACAGCTCTGTCTGCGCTTAGGGCCACTTGTATTCGGGTAATGTGTATTCGGGTCACTGATGTGATGCTAAGAAATCTGTAGATATACTCATCCACTTTGAGTACTTCTTCGTACGAAATGTTACTTCAGACTTATGCAAAAATCTCCGAGCAGAAAGAAATTTTTGTATTAGATGTAAAATATCCAGGATGATAGACTACTCTGATTGGACATGAATACTGTACAGTATGTTCAATTTCTTCAGTTCAGGTCGAAAAGGTGTCAATTTTATTGTATTCTTAAAGAGATCAAGAAAATAATTTTCTGTCGGCAGTCTCACGTTGGTTTAGAGACGTTGTTTGAGAACTAGAAATGTTTTACCAAGCACCAGAACTCCAGGAGGATCAACAGAATTTGTTTTTCCTGTTCAGTGAATGATATGTGGTGTAACATTGTAAAAATCCAACCGCCACTCATGAAAATATTTTAGATTATATCGTGCATGAGTGGTCCTTAAACATGGGTATTCTTATATTCGTCCCACGAAAAAATCCATGGGATTTGAATGGAACTGAAGGATTCGTTCTCTAATGTGAACGCATCCCCTGCGTTATGCTCACTGTACTATGCCCTGAAGTCTTATTATTTCTGTTCATGCTCATGACCTTTGCCCCGGCGCCTAAAAATCATTTTTCGAGAGGTAACCGGGAAGAGGCCAGTGCCCTCAGCGCAAGGAGAATATTTTGAATGGACGAATATGCAATTTGGCATGTTCGAATCAGAAGCTGAATTGACTGCTCCGTTTTCATCTTTCAAATCCCTCGAGTGTGAAATTAGTCGGCCTTCAATTTTCGCATAGATGTACCGATGCGTAAACACACTGTCTTGTGGCAATCGGTCTAGAAAGTGACCTTGACTTTTTTTATAAATGGAGTACTTTATTTTCGCGCCTTCAGTGGCAAGAACTTGAAGGTTTTTTTTTTTTCTTTTTGCTGGGTTAATTCAGGAAAAAGCGCATTTTCGAGCTCCTAACTTTTGGAAAGCTAGAAATATTTTATGTCTGATTTTCATGGTTTGCCGCCGTGAATCCGGCAGTTTGCCAGGAAATTCTCGTGTATAACTTCACAGAATCCTGATTTGAAAGACGAAAAAGAAGTTGTGGACGTTTCCAGCTGTTGTCTTGGGCCTGTTTTTTTTTTTCGGAGTGCAGAAACTTTCGGGAGCAGATCAATTACTTCAACTCGTCTATCAAGAATAACGATGTCGTGCAATTCTTTCAACTTAAGTGTTGGTAACAGTATTTTACTTATTTATCCACTCTGTTTTGAGTCTTGATCGTTCCTTCGAGCTATGAAAGTCGTATTTTTTTCGATTGAACTTTTTGGTCCGACCTCAACTCATAATATGAATGCCTGTGTAGTACTGGTGCATTCCAGAAGATGTGGAGTCGACCATGAATTCATTTTCTTCAAAGAAATGCATTGTTCGAGGACATCGGTGACACCTTTGAGAGATCTGCTTTGAGACGTGTGCCAGAATTTGGGGAGTTTCTTCGTCGTTTGGTCCAATTTTCGCATGCCTGTTTACTATTGAATTCAGAATTCCGTCGGGATTTTCGAGGCTTCGAAAAAGGGGGGGGGGGGAGAGGCAGCCAGGAGAATTTATTCAAATCCAGCTTCAATTAACGGCTATCCGCGCCACGCGGTTATGATTCCATCAGACGAACGCACAAGCGCTGGTCGTCCACTCTCAGGGTCATCCTATGTCGTGTCTCAGTAACGTTGTGGTTGCCGTAATGCGTGCGACTGACAACGCATTCCGTCAGTTGTCCTAAATTGTGATACCGGTAATACATTAGTTCATTTTAATAAATCCAGGTAGAGCTCGTCTGATGTTTCATAATTTGCACGGCAGTACTCGTGTGTACTGCCAAATTCGGATTATCCGGACTTCGATTAACCATGCCTACATTTCGCCTTTTTTAATTGAGGGGAGTTGAAGCGTCCTTTTAAATTGCTTAGCTGTATTTCCTTTCTAATCAGCATCTTTGAATACGTGGGCAAAGGCACCCGATCATCAGCTCGGATAATTGTAGGTCTGTTGTGCGTAGTTTCTGATTTTTGGCGTTTTACGGAAAGCTACTATCTTAAGCCGTGGTGATCTGTGAGAATACTTTTATCCTCATTTTTGAATTGTTCATCATGAATTTGTTTCATTTTTTGAAGACATTTTAATCGAGTTTACCCTTCAAATGTTTAACCTTGTTCTGTTAAAAGTCGTGATGTCGGCGCGAACAAATTCCTAATACGTCTTGCCGGGAGTGAGCAACCCTTGAAGCTTTCTGGAATTGCCATTGGAAACAAACTTGTGACGCGTGGGCATAAGCGGTTCTTTGATTCTAGAAATCGCACGTTTAAGCTTTGAAATTCTGGAGTCGTGACCTGGTTGGGTCGTCAACGAGTTGAATGTAAGTTTACTGTTCACGATTCGAGCGTTGCGTCACGAGGAATTCTTGATACTGAAACTGAACATCGGAAAGAATGTTTACTTTCGCACTCTGTTATTGCCGCATCACGGTTGAATCCAATCTCATGCCTAAGAAACGTGGTCCTATCAGTTGATCCCCTCCGAAACTTCGGGCAAGGGAAGAACAGCATTTCATTTCTCAAAAAATTTCTCAATTTCTGGTAGACGTGTTAGAACGGCCGCACCATGCCAGTTATCGGTCAGCCACTGAGGTAAATGCAAAATTATTTCTCCGCGGAACTCGGGGGCACACACGTTCGCTGACTGATTTCCCTTTTCTTTTCTCGTTTTTTTTTATGTATTTCAGGTTCCGCTCCACCGCCCGGAGATCCAATACTTCCATCAGCCGTTCCGAAAGCTATAGAGAACGTCAGAAAGAGGTGAGTTGATTGAACAACAATCCATGGATTTTGCTACCAGCGCAGTTGATGAAAAATGCGGGTGACTGGGTCTCGTTTTTTAAGCTCAGCTTTCATCAGAAAACTATTGTGGTATTCTTCACTATTTCCCAATGCTGAAGCCTACATTCAAATTATCGGATAAATTTTGGGCACACGGTATCTTTGAATATAAGCTGTGCTATACAACAATACGACCTTGGGAGCATTTTGGACTCGTATTCAACATGTTTAATTCGCACTACAGTTGCGAGAAAAAACGAAGAATAGAATAAACTGTCCTACTTATTGGACAGTTACTGTACTGTATCATACTCTCTCTGTCTTGTCACACTGCTTCCTCGATATCGGTTTGTTGAATAGATAAGTTTCAAAATGTGACGATCAAGATATAAACAAATGACAATTTGGAAGTTTTGTGATGTTGAATTCCAAGACGAACTCTATTGTGGAGATTACGATTTTAAAGCTGCATTAAAATGCTATGTTCGTAAATTTACTGTATAACCTACCGGACAACGAAATCCTCGCGTTTTTTTTAATTGCCAAGAAGCGTAAACCCCAGTCTTATTTTTAGGAAACAATGTGGGAAGAAAAATCAAATGTGATCACGTAGTGTAACGTAAGCGTCGGATTCATGTTTCTTCGAAACGAGTGATCGTTTCGATTTTCGGATTTATTTTCAACTCCTGGGAACGAGTATCAGGAAAAGTGTTGGGGCGTTGATCGTTTCGCGTCGGTCGGTGTTGTAGGGGATACTTTTATCAAACGCTTCGAATGCTCTGTAAAAAGGTGCTCTAATCTCATCCATGTTGACTGTTGTGTATTAGCCACTTGACTCCAGATCAAAACCAATGTCGCGCGACGTGAGAACGTTCTGACCTTGTGAAACGAGTTTCCCCAAAAATTCGGATTCTTTTGATTGGAATAGGTTATTTCAACGAATTAACAGTGAAATCGATGGAGTTTCTTCTCATCTTTTCTTTTTTACGATGAAGAATGGAAAGAATTATCTAAACTTGAGAGTTTTGAAGACGTCTCAGTCAGTAGAGGTTACATGCTATGAGTGGGTCTGGTTTTGCAGTCGAGTGTCTTATCAAGCTGTCACCTCTAACGTATGCTTGATGACTTCTCCAGTGCTTGCGCATGTGAGTTTGTGTCGGCTCTCGTTCGAGATGCCGTCGTATCCCTCGATGTCGATGGCCTTGATCACGACAAGTCTCTCAGTTGAAGGGGTAAACGTAAACTGACAGAGGATCCGTTCTTCGCTTGAAGGGATGAGTCTGCCTCCTTGTAAAATAGTTCAAATTGCACCACAACTTCGATACTGTGTATCCGTTGATATTGTATGTCACCGCCTTTTCGTTTTACTGTATCTGCAAGGAGCAAAACATTTAAGCTGATAGAGTCCCATCTGAATCTGTGTCAAGGGGGAAGAAGGGGTTTCTGTGCGGAATGCTTCAGTGTTCGGATCTTGCTTGAGCCATCCTCATGGTATACTAGTATTTACCGGTGAAAACATTTGCCCCCAATCACGCAGGGGTTTCAATTAAATTTAAATAAATAAGTTAAGTAATAGTGGAGCCATTGGATGAATGAAAACCAGACTGTTTTGTTGAGTTTACCACGAAACTTTTACAAGTGATCATTCTTCATACAGGTGAAAGGCAAAAAAGAGAATAGATTTACGGTAATCTCTTCAGTCGGTGCAGGATGTTCCGAGGACGCGCTGATCGTCCCGAAAAAAAGAGTTGAATGTTTGTTGCGTGACAATTTCTTTTCTCTTCTGAATTCCAAGGTTTGAACAGCATTTTGGACTGATCATCGTTTGGACACATTAGACTTCAAATTTCATTTTAGTCTAAGTTCGACTATCATGAAAATGTGTCGATTCATTGCAGAAAGTAACGTTTCCTGGTTTTCCACCGTCAGTTGAGTTGGTGTGTGTGGTGTTGAAATGTAGTACAGTATTTGGATACGTTAACCTCCGTTTTTTCAGCGCAATACTACTAAATGGTAATCCAATTTTGCGTAATGAACTGAATTTCATCGGCTCGAAATCATTATCTGCGAAGGTCTGATATACTGTAGTTTTTAGGTACGATGTGAACAGTTGTTTATGTATCGGCCGGTGTGTATACATTTTGAATTTTAACGAAATTTATGGCACCGGTAGAAAGGGAATTCAGAATATTGAAAATTAGTCAAGCGCTCACTTATAGGTTCTTCGATTGACATGTTGGAGCAACCAGTGAATATCGTCTTCGTGCTATCGTAGTTCTGTTCCATAGTCAGTTGAATCGTGTTTTGCGTAATGCAGTGAATTGAAGGTACGAGCTAATTTTTCTCTCGTCATTTGAACCCTGTACTGAGAACATTTCAAGGGTTCGTAACTTGAACCTGAGAATACAGCGCGATTTCGGCTTGTGTGAGTTGGATTCGTGAAAGGTGTTAATCCGAGGAGTAATGTCCAGTTTCGCTTCTGCGAAAGTCTGTATGGATGAGAACTAGCACCGTTGTTTTGAAAACTTCCGTGGGTCTTGATGTCCGTAGCCGTCTCTTGAGCACGGTCGAGAATTTGCTTTGGTATGAATGATGGATAAGATAAGTGAGTTTGCTCTGTGACTGCGCTGAACGGTAGTGCTATCGTTCTGCACGTCTCGAGCTGTGGCGTATATTGGGACGTTACCAAAGGATGTTGATCGCGAAGTTCAGGGATTATTCCACAGTAACGTCACATCCCCATCTGGTTGAGCTGAAGAACGAAAAATTATGTGAAGAATACCTGTCTTCAGTTTTAGAAAGATGAAATGTAATTTCGCTACGATTTTGTTTCGTGTGTAATCTTGCGTTCGTGTATAAAGCTGAAGAAATTTACTACTAATGGTAAATAGACTTGTACAGTGATACAGGTATAATCTCTGTTCCTCTACGACGAAGTTCAGCGGCCCAGGAAAAAGTCGTTGTCGAGAACCCCTGTAAGATGGGTAGAGAACCCTATCCGCCTATGGGACCAAATTAAAATCCGTTTTCGAGTTATTACCAATGCCGTTTTTGTTTTTTTGTGGCAGGCCTTTTCTTAATCTGTATATTTCCTTCTCCCGGTGCAAACAATTCTCCTTTGTATTATCTATCCTTTTGCCCCGTGAATGTCTTCATTGGTAGAACCAATCTTCAAATAAATACCTGCAGTAACTTTCTTCGGCGCGTTACCGGAATGCGAAATCCCACGAAACGTGATAGGGTTGTTGGGGTTTTTCAGTGCAGATTCCGGGTGTCTAGAGTTCATTTTTTTTTTATGGAAGAGTTCCTGTCAGGTGAAAGGAAATCCACGAAAGGACTCTTGTGGAAGTATGTGGCACAGTTGTCCGTTATTGTCGGCCCAAATTTAAAGACGTACCAGTGAATCCGCGTGCAAATCGCGTCATAGTTTCAAAGCTCAGCTTTCTGTTTGAACTATTAGTCATGTCTGTTAACCTAGTGGGGTAGTGAGATGGTCTCGTTGACCTGGGAAGCAGGTGCTTGTATTCCTCGGTCATGACGAGTAGGCTAAGAATCCCTCCTCCGTCATTAGACCCACTGCATGAGTCATGCGTGCGCGAGGTGATTATTTGGGTTGGCGTTTCTTCTAATTTTTTCAAGCGGTTTTTGTTCTTGTCCACAGCGCCGAGAGAAAAGGAAGCACAGCGATCCGAATCTACCGCCCTCGAAGTCGTCGTAAGTAGTTGTTTTCGTTTTCTCTTTCGCTCTGCTTCGGTTCAATTCTGCTACTCGGTCATGACTCCGTTAGTCATAAACTATGCCTTTCGCGATTTCGAATGATTTCCAGATACGCTTCTGATTTGACGAAGAAGTCATGGACGTAGGCTCGCTTGCATTTACTGTATCTTCTTCTCTGACCTTTTCACCCATTTTGGTTTAATTTCCAAGTACAGTATACTGTATGCGTTCAACTTCTTCGTCTGCCCTGATGCCGTTGCAATTGTGCCATTCTGTTCCGCGAGCAGTTTGCGAAAAAGGTTTCATGAACTTTCGGGTAAAATTGGATTACGGTCGTTAATCCGAAATGGACTATGTGAATGGGTTTAATGCGGATTCATAATCTTCCGGCGTGTAGTTTCAGATCAACTATATTTCAGTTCGATCTGTTTTCTGATACCGGAATCGAGCGCTTCCAGTACTGTGCTGTTCTGTAGTTTTTGGAAAATCCTGAAGTTTTTTCGAGCTGGACCCCATTATAGCATGACTTCGTACACATTTCATCCTGGTCATGACGTGGGGAATATTCTATATGGCTTCGTAGGAGACTTAACATTAATTTGAGCTATGTGCGTATTCACGCGCTTATAGGCCGCACGCTTCTCCAGAAAATGTGCTGAAAATTCGTGTGCGGCATATAATCCGATTTATGTGAGTATATTGGCCGCACCGCAGACGTGCTTATATGGCCTCTACCTGAAACGATGCGTTGAACAAAGTAGACCTTATACTGGCGCATTTCCCATCCGGAGCATGTTACGCAGCACTTCGGTTTTGAATCATTCATGCGTGATCACTTGATATTATTAACTTCATGAAACTTTAATCTGAAAATTTGAGGATTTTCTGTGTATCAGCCAAATCCCTGCGCCGAAGTTCTGTTCAGACATCAGGATGCGGTTTATGTCCACGTAAATACGGTAGCCGTCTTTTTCGAACAAGCCTTCTGTCAAATTTTGTTTCCTTTCGCCCATGATATCACGCGAAGTGTGAAGGAGGTGCTTGAGACCACGATCTGGGATTCATAGAATTTAGATTGACCAAAAGTTCTGCGACTTTTGAATTGATTTCCTCTCGGTGTTGTCGTTGAAAAGGCATAGACCCATAGACCATAGAGTTCCGGTGCTGATAAGGAGAATAACAGATATATAATTCAGCAGAAATGCTTTTCGAGTTAAGAGTGCTTGGTTGGTTTAGCTTGTGTTTTAGCGGGGCGATGAATTCCGAAGCCTTGAGTGATCGGTTCATTTGTAGGAAGTGAGTCTGTGTATCAGGCGTGGATGACGGTAGCTGCAGTGACGACACTGTCGAGCGTGGTTTGCAGCTGTAGTCGCGCATGCCTCGCATTGAGGGTCGAGGTCAGTTGTGTCGCTCAAGTGACAATATGCGAAGAGTTGTGAGAGGTCGACCGGTGGGTTCAGGTGAAGCGGTGTGCGGCAACGGGTTGAAGAGTGCGCACGAGGCCCCGATTCATTTTTGTGAATGGATGAGCCCCGGTTGAATTGGATTAGGTCCAGGTTCAGAAATAGAAAATCCTCGCGTAGGATATCGCGGGCTTCCTAACGATTCCCGGACCTGGGTGGCGGGTATCCCGAGTACTGGGTCGTCGGCGATTGACGCGTGGGTCGCGTGTTGCCGAGCGGGGATCGATGCATCGGCCGGTGACGACACCTGGAATCGCAGGATTTTGATCTATTTTCTCACGTCGTCAAACTAATATGTTGGCTTCGTTGTTCCTGTCGCTTAAAAATGATGCAGTATACAACTATAGATTGCCCAAGAGGTGCACGAGAGACCCTCAATATTGCACAATTGATTGTAATGATTTGTTTATCTCCACCGGGATCTTGAAATTACATTCGTAGTTCTCAGCGAGGGCTCTGCGGCATCACCAGAAAAAATAATAAAAAAGACATCTGAGAGGTAAAACCCCGAAAATTAGTGCCCGCGAATACCGTAGGAAGATAAGCCCACCACGTCTACCGCTTGATGAACGTGATGAATTACCATACTATGTATGCATGTGGACAATGATTAGGTACTGGAATAAAGGCGTGAGGGGTTTTGTGGAAGAAATTTATTTTTGAAAGTATTCATCCTTAGTTATTTTTGAAGAAATTGAAACTAGATCAGCTATTCCATGGTAGAAAACCGCATAGCTAATGTTCTACCGGTCCATCCCGCCAAGTTTCAAGATTGGAGTACAATATTTCTTTGCACAGTATTCTTAAAAAGAACTCATAAAAATTCCAGGGTTTGTGAATTAGTATTCTCTAGTATCCGTAACCCGCCACTATCGGATTATTTTCTCCATTGACGGAAAGCCTTGTTCTATGTGATGGAATCAAATAATACCCTAGTGGCCTAGTATGTAAAAAATACGATATCCACCTGGGTTTTTCGACTTCGTTCTGTGGTTAAATTTCAGTGTCCGTATTTATTTTTATCTGGGTGCCATTGGGTACATTTTAAATGATGAATGTGTCGTTTA